CGGGCCGGGCCGGCGGGAGTCCTCAGGGTGGGCGGTGGCGGTTAGAGCGGCGACACTGAGGGCACCTTGGTGACCGGCGCCTCTAACGTGCAGCTAGTAGCGCGCCAGGGTAGCTTTCATGGAAATCACACGTTCTCAGTAGCCTTTCCGCGGGTGTGTTTGCTTATTTAGTTCATTTCGCTTACTTATCGTATTTAAAAGCGAAGAGGTTTGCCCTCTTTCACCGCCCAAGCTCTCCCTAGTCGTCGCAGGGTGTTTGGTCTGCTCCTGTAGAGCCTGTTTTTCTCACTTGTGTGTGAAAAGTGGTAACTCGCAGTCAGGGATGTTTGATATGTGCCTGCTACAGGGCGAATGTGCCCAAACACGGATGTTTATTTAAAGCCTCTCTCCAAAGCAAGGTTAAGTGCTCTTTATTTATCACAGGTGTATGTTTGGCTGTGTCTATTGCTGTTACGTGGATGTTGGTGGGAATGTTCAGCCCAAAGTTAAACAATTGTGTTGATTTATTTTGTTGTTACGAAAAATTCCTCTCTGCAGGTAGTGGCTAAGGCTTCTTCTAATGGGGAAAGTTTTACATGTTCCTCTAACTTGTAAAATTAGAGGTAACTAGACTGATTTAAAATAATGATACTTCCAATTTCTTTGTTTTTTAACGCTACCTTTGCAAGGCCTGTCGTTTCCTAGTAACTATGTGCTAAATAAAGCCCTTTGCTAAATCTCTTAACGCAGGTGTGTTGTCCGAATTTGAAACTGTGATGCTGAAGTGGGATATATGGTCTGTGACGGTGTAGTTGTCCCCTAGTAAAGACATCACTTGCAACTGGCAGGTGATAAAATCCTATGTGCCAGAATTAAGCTCTTGTTAATGACTGAAAGCAATTGTGAAAGAAAAACATCCTTAAAAACAAGTATGAGATGAAATAATTATCTCTAATATAAGAGCTAGATCTGTTATCTTTCAACAAATGGAAAAACACAGAAGTGTTTAGAAAATAGCAGGTGAAGCGTGGTTAAGTAGGCGTTACTGTACTACGTTAAAATTATTCACTGACCACGTTTGTCCCATTAGCTAGGCATGTTTGTTTTTTTGTAGTTGGGTCAGCTTCAGTTTACCAATTGCAAAGCAGAGCCTCTGTGTGGAAGGAAAAACAGAGATTCAGGCAATAAGTCATTTAAACATTATCTTTAGATTCTCAATGAAACCAGCTAAATGGAGCAATAAACAGGATGAAAAGGTGTATTAGTGTACTTCTGTTTTATGAAATGCATAGTAGATCTGGTACCATGTGTTAATATACTAACACATAAGTATTAATATACTAATACAGAAGTATTTAGTAGTGAAAGTGAAAACATGACGTGAAAAGGCATTGTCAAATAATAGGAAAATAACAGCGTTCAAGGAAAGTATATGACAAATGCATACCTTTTTATTAATATGACAAAATGTGCAAAGGATATAGGCTTGCTTTTAAATAATTTTTATAAATACTCTGTTTTTTTTGCTGTAGACTTTCAGATAAAACGCCAAATCATCTTGTGTTTAGCGAACTACTGCACAAATTGTAGATAGAACATTTGCCAAGAAGGCAACCAAAACAGAGGATGTCAATGAGGGGATGATGATATATCAAGATAAAGAAGGTATTGTAAATTATAAGATAGATTGGAAACATAAAATGACTATTTGTAATATAAGAACAAATGTCACGGTCCAGGCTGTTCACTGTAATTTAGACAGAAATGTAACAGTGAACCTGAATAAAGTTGGGTAACTCTTCCACCTGAAGACATGCTCTGTATGGAGCTGATGATGTCTTGCATGAGTTGATCCCATAATAATTTGAAAAATTCATTCCTATTTTTAGAGTATAGGTCTTTCAGAGGCAACGTGTTAATCCTGCAGAAAGGAACAATGAATTTTCTATTTTTCAAATAACAGAGACTAGTGATGTGGTTCTTCAGAGTTATTTAAAAAAAATCATATGTGAGATTGTCTTAGTTTATTTAGTTAAGTACCATGTTGATGCCCTAAAATTATATAATTAAAATGCAAACTTTCTACATGAAATGTATTTTTGTGTATGAGAGTAAATAAATACATCTTTTTTAAATTCAAATGATTAGCATCTCTGTAGTCTTTAAATAGCTGCATTTTTTGTCAAGAAAGCATATCCAGATAATTAATAGTGGTAAAATAACCATCCTATAAAATGCTATGTGAAAATGTTTGTATTTACAGCTAGCTTTTTTTAAGTGCACAAAAATACTTTATTTCCAGATTTAAGATTTAAATGTGAAAATATGAGACTCAAAAGGTGTGGTTAGAAATGAGCATAGTATTATCAAGGTTGTTATCCACCAACCTATCCTTGGGTCAGGAATGGGGTAGGTGAGAAGAACAGGAAAAGTTATTCACGTGCGTTTGCTGTTTATGGACGGGACAGTTGGGATGGCAGATGGGGAGTAATTTCTGATGCTTGTGCCACCCTGGGTGCTCTCCCTGAGCAGCTCCTTCCTCATAAAGGGCAGCGCAGATTGGAGGGTGTCATCGGCCGGGCGTTTCTGGCCTCTATTATGTCACTGCTGTTGCCCTACCAGTACCATTCTGTGACCCTCACCTTTGCTTTCGGTGTGTGCCTGATGCTGGGAAGATCAGATAACAAAAGTACCAGGGCTCCCGCTGTAACGAAAAAAGCAGAAGAAGGCATTTTGAAAGTTGGCAAAATAAATACGAAACGGCTGGGTCAACTTTCTGAAGGTGGGTACCGGAGGAATGGAGCCAGGCAGTTATTGGTGTATAATACTTAAAGTTACATATTTACCATGTGGAAATTGAGGAGATGCCACGGTCATTTTGATGGTAGGCCAAATAAATACCTGTACAATGCCAGTAAGACTTGCTTAGGCTGTATATTGAGTAATAATTTAAGAAGGCCTAAGTAAGAGTGCTTTTTAATTTTTTACATGGTCTTAACTCTGTGGGATAAATTCTGAGTTATATCAATACTTAAGTACTGGTATCTGAGCAGTATATTACTGTGCTTTAGTAACTTTTATATTTTTTTCATCCAAAGTAGCAAAACTCTTGGTTAGCTATTTTTGCAATATTTTATATACTGAGGGAATGACCTTTTAGTTATGATATGAAAAGGTTAGAAAATTGCACGCATCTGAATATAAGGAAGTGGTGAAATAGTATGAACAGGGGATGTACTCTGTAAAGTTTATGCTATACTTTTTAAAAGATCAATATCAGCCTTATAAGAGAAAATGATTCTGAATTAGGAGCTAACGTGGAGCCTGTAAAAGTCTTTCTCATAGTTAGTATCATGTTACAAATGACAGAATTCAAATGGAAACATGCAAAATTTAATTGGAACTACTCATAAAAGGACTCCTTGTATGTTAGTATTTTTATCTTATGCACACAGAATTAGTATTGTATGTATTATAGGAAGAATATCCTCTAACTCCAGAGCAAAGCAAATTACAAAGGTAGAATGCTATATATTCCTTTGATCTTTTAAAGATAAAATTCAGAGAGTATTTCATATAATTGTCATATTTCATTATGGCTTCCCTAAGCTAAACTTAAAAAAAAATTTCTTTTTGTGAAAGAGCTGCAATTTAATCTTACTTGGACCTAAATTATGTTGTTTAATGTCAAAATTCTAGATTGAATTGGCCTATTTTTTTTAAGTAAGCTTCAGTTCTGAATAGTTCCGTGAAGCCCTATTATTTTATTCTTTGGTGGCCCAGATAAGCATATGCTCATGTATATTGTAGGGTCTGGGTTAAAGGAAAAGATGTCTTGTGCAGATTTCAGCTGGAGGAACTCTTTTGCAAAATCAGCTCTGGTCTGTGCATAAAACCAGGACAAAAGTGTAAGCACATAATACTCTGGACTCTTCCCACTGCCAAGGTAGGACAGAGACCAGGTGTCCCAGTAATGGAATTTGCCTTTCTTTTTTTTAAATACCATTTGTTGGTGTCTGAATGACAAACATAAGGCTTTGGTACAAAATTCCTGCAGGGCTGAAATACTAACCATTTAGTAGTACGGTTATCAGTTTGATAGCAAATATGTCCTGGAGGGATGCAAAAGGACTGTCTTGAGCTTTTTAATTTCTTCAGGCAACAAAACATCCTTATATATAAAAAGCCATAGTTTCCTGTAAGTATTGTATACTCTTTCAAATCAAAGACTTCTTTTCTGAGTAGAAAGAAATTGTTGGCCATCAGTAGAAAGTTGTGTGAGAGTCTAGAAAGGAAATTCTATACTGTTATATTCAAAACACCCCTTGGCAGAATGAAATAGTACCAAATTTTCTATTTGGGCAGAAACAGAGCATGCTTTGTAATTGGTGAAACAACTGCTGACCGCAGTGAAGAGACATCTGTTTCCTTCACGTTCCAAAACTGATGGTGATACTTCAAATAGCCATCAGGTGGCAGCAGAAGTGTGAAATAACATTATCTGCTTTGTATAATTACACTGCAGACTTTCTACCAAGTTAGTAATAATATATTTGGGTTCTCCTTTATAAAAATTCTTCGTCCAGGTACAATAGATGCATAGATGGCATATAGTGGCAAATTCTTGTTAGATTAAGGACCAGTGTTAAATACACAGACATATACTGTTTTGGGAGTTTGTCAGAAGTGAGATAGATACTGGTAGAGTCTCGGGTAAAGCTGGAGAAAAG